CCCTGTATTAAAGGTTCTAAAGTTCAAGGTAATTAGTGCAATCAGGTGCCAAATTATTCAAGTCCCAGGAGAGCAGTATTTAGAAGGAACTATGGCAAAACTTCAAGGACTGAATCTATGGTATAATTAGTATAAACCTCACATTTTTAGCAAAATATAGTATTTAAATCATTTGTTCTGTGGATTTTGCAAAGCACGGCCTATAAAAATTTTGAAGGACCTTAATCTGACAAAAATAAGAGTTAAATTATCTTATAATTATGATGTTAATGTTTGACAGAGAACACAAATTACTTTAGGAAAAAGCCTAGCTAGTTGGGTAGATGTTTCTGCAGCACAGTCCAGAAATCAAAATTATATAAATCTAAGTGCTGTCTAATGTTCCCTAATACTTACTCTGAGTCTCATTTTCCTCCTACCAGAATAATTTCTGTTTTACAGGTCTGATACTGAACCCACTGTCAGGGAGAGGTGGTACCTCAGAAATGAGAGCATACATATCTGTCGTCAAAGAAAAATAACTAAGCTGTACACAACAATTAGCAGCCATCAATTCAAAATCTAATTTTAGATCCTTGATTCTGGAAAACCTGACAAATAGTTGCGATTTCACTCCCATGAACAGCACTAAGGGATCACTAAGAAAACATAGTTAAAACCTTGCATACAGGCAATGATGTCTTTCTGGAGAGAATTTGATTCCAAAGGTAAATTCAAAGATCCCTGGTGCTTATGTCTAATAAAAACAAAAATCTCCAAAGATAATATTTTAATTAAAGCAATATCATTTCCTTGAATACACAATTTCCTCTCTGTCCCTCGGTCTGTTCAGCCTGGCCTTGAGTAACAGGAGCAGTTCTGTGAGCCCCAGCATTAATGAAACCCTTGTCTCCTACAGATTTGTGTGTCTCCATTGACAGAAAATCTGAGCTGGTCAGGCTGAAGCTTTTCTAGCAGTTGGGACATTTTTTGAGTTGTTCTGTCTTGGAAATCCTTGCACACTGTGTGGCATGGGAGCTCACTGTGACCCTCCCCTGAGCAGAGACCTTTGCTGGGCTTTCTTACCCAGGTGCCAACTCCATGAAGCTGCCAAGGGTGCCATCCTTGCTGGGATCCCTCCTGCTCCTTTTGCCTGATCCTGGCCAGTGTGTTCAACAGGGATGAGAGGCACGAAAACACACATGGACCTCTACACTTGTATAAGGCTTTTCTCCACATAAGCCAATTTTTTAAAAAATAAAAGTGTGTCCTGTGCCTACAGTGACACAGCTGGAAGAGAGGCTCAGTGGTACAGACACTGCAGCTGCCTGCTGCCAGTGCTGTGGCTGGAAACACAAATCTCACCCTCCCCTCTGCCCTACTCCCATCTAACTCAGTGTCCTTCAGCCTCGTGGGGGTTCTCCCGTGGGAATCAGTGTGGCACCTGAGTCTTCTCCCTGCAAAGTATTTAGAGTTCAGCCACTCCCCCCAGGCAGCCCCAAAGGGAGAATCATTACAGCTGCATGATAAACAATGCCTGGGTAAAGGTTGTCTTCACCATTTTATATTGCTGGGACCCATTCCTCTAACCTTTCTCCAGCGAAGCATATGTGATATTATACGAAATACTCACCTAATCTAGATGACACTGCAACAAGCACATACCCAGCGCAGCAGGTGGGTGTTTTCCTCAGCTGAGGGAACTGACTGTGCCAGGCTGATTAGTGCTTAACACAGACGAGCCCGGACGTGTCAGGTCTGTCAAGAGCTGAATTTTCTGTGTTTCACACAACATTCACAGAATCACAGAATATGCTGAGCTGGGAGGGACCCATCAGAACCATCCAGTCCAGCTCCCAGCCCTGCACAGACACCCCAACAATCCCCCCTGGGCATCCCTGGGAGTGTTGCCCAAACACTCCTGGAGCTCTGGCAGCCTCGGGCCGTGCCCATTCCCTGGGGAGCCTGGGCAGTGCCCAGCACCCTCTGGAGAAAGAACTTTTCCCTGATCTCCAGCCTGACCCTGCCCTGGCACAGCTCCAGCTGTTCCCTGGGGTCCTGTCCCTGCTCAGGAGAGTGAAGAGATCAAAGCTGCCCTGTTGTGAGGATGTTGAAGACCCCGATGGAGTCTGACCTCAGTCTCCTCCAGGCTGAACACACCAAGTGCCCCCAGCTGCTCCCCCCTGAGGGCTTCCCCTGCAGACCCTTCCCCATGCCCAGGGCCTCCTCTGGGCCCTCTCCGATGGCTTCGTGTCTTTCTCATGCTCTGAGCCCAAAGTGCCCCGGCACTGAAGGCGAGGCCGCCCCAGCCCAGCCCAGAGCAGAACAATCCCCCCGGCCCGGCAGGGCTGGGCCTGCTGCCCCAGGACAGGGATGTCCCTGCTGGCTGCCAGGCCGCCGCTGGCTCGGCTCCAGCTGCCGCTGCCAGGAGCCCCAGGTCCCTCCTGCAGCTGCTCTGCAGCCTCTCCTCCCCAGTGCCCCCACAGCCGGGGCTGCCCCGTGCCAGGGCAGAACCCAGCCCTTGCCTGAGCTGAGCTCGCCGTGGCTGGGACCGCCCTTCTCTCCCCTTGGCTGGGTCTCTCTGCAGGGCCCCTCTCCCTCAAAGGAGTCAGCAGCTCCTCCTGATTCAGTGCCACCAGCAAATTTCCTGAGGGCTCCTTGGAGTCCTGGGTCCACACCATCAGTGTGGTGCTGAGCACAGGGCTGAGGGTGGAGCCCTGCAGAGCCCCCCTGGTGACAGCCCCAGTCTGATGTCACCCCAGCCATGCCACCCTCTGTGCCCAACCCCTGAGCCAGCTGCTCACCCATCCCACGATGTGTTTATCCAGCTGTGGCCTGGACATTTTGTCCAGAAGGATTCTGGGAGAGTCAGTATCAAGACCCTACATAAATCCAAAGTTATTACATCTAGTGGCTTTCCTAGATCAACCAGAGGGGTTACTCTGTCGTAGAAGAAAATCCGGTTTGACAAGCAGGGCTTTTCCCTCCTGAAGCCGTGCTGGCTGTGACCAATGACTGCGTGGTCCTGGCAGACCCTCAGCACCTCCCAGAATAATGTTTTCCATTATTTTAGCAGGTCCTGAAGTGACACTGACAGTCCTGTAGTCTCTGGGGTCCTCCTTCTTGCCTTTCCTGAAAATCAGAATACCACTCACCAGCCTCCAGTCAGCTGGGACCTCTCCAGATTCCCAAGACTGCTCAAATCATCAAGAAAGGTTTTGCAATGACATCAGCAGCTCTTTGAGGATTCTTGGATGATTCTCCTCAGGTCCCATAGATTTTCAGGGATCCAGCTGGAGCATCAGATCTCACACGATTTCAGGGTTAACAGGGAGTTGATCACTGTCACAGTCATGGTCCTCCAGCTCAGGGCACTGAGCCCCCGTGGTCCCTGATCCATGTTGGAGACAGAGGCAAAGAACGCAATAAACACTTCTGCCTTCTCCCTGTACCTGTTTGGGAGGTGACCATCCTCATCCTGAATCAAGACAATATAATTTCTGTACTTCCTTTTGTCATTAATATATTTGAAAAAACTCTTTTTTATTGTCCCCCATGTTTCTAGCAACTTCAAGTCCAACTGAGCTTTGGCTGCACAGGCTTTCTCCCTATGATGGTGAGCAGAACCCAGCCCTTGCCTGAGCTGAGCTCGCCGTGGCTGGGACCGCCCTTCTCTCCCCTTGGCTGGGTCTCTCTGCAGGGCCCCTCTGCCCTCCTTTCTCCCTATGATGGTGAGCAGCATCTCTCTGTTCTTCCCACAGCACCTGAACTTGCTTCCACTGGGTGTAAACCTTCCTTTTTTGCTTAACTTCCAAGAGGAGATTCCTGATCAGCCAAGCCACCCTTTTGCCTCTCCTGCTTGACCTCTGACATTTGGGAATTGCTGCTCCATTGCCTTTAGGAGGTGATGCTTAAAAAGTGACAGCACTGATGGACCCAGCACCTCCCACAGCATTTTCCCTGGGGATTTAACTCACTGGTTCCCTGAGGAACCAAGTCTGCTCTACTTCATAAAGTGTAGTTTCTAAACTCCTACCTGTTTGATTGACAATTTAATCCTTTTGGATCTTTTTATTCCCCATGAAAAAAGCCCACCGCCCCTCTGCCCTCAAAGGAGTCAGCAGCTCCTCCTGATTCAGTGCCACCAGCAAACTTCCTGAGGGCTCCTTGGAGTCCTGGGTCCACACCATCAATGTGGTGCTTAACTTCCAAGAGGAGATTCCTGATCAGCCAAGCCACCCTTTTGCCTCTCCTGCTTGACCTCTGACATTTGGGAATTGCTGCTCCATTGCCTTTAGGAGGTGATGCTTAAAAAGTGACAGCACTGATGGACCCAGCACCTCCCACAGCATTTTCCCTGGGGATTTAACTCACTGGTTCCCTGAGGAACCAAGTCTGCTCTACTTCATAAAGTGTAGTTTCTAAACTCCTACCTGTTTGATTGACAATTTAATCCTTTTGGATCTTTTTATTCCCCATGAAAAAAGCCCACCACTTCAAATGAAGGATGCTGTGTTTTTAATCAAATGTCAGGTTTGAGCACCTCAGCTCCAGTGCTTTGGTGGAAAGCATTTGGCAATACAGGGCATGTCAAAATGAGTAGAGCATAACAGCCAAGTAGAGGAAGAGAGCTCCCAAATATGTTCTCCTGCTTCAAGGTTATCTCTTAGGTTGAAGATTACATGTTCATTTGTCTTGGCTCATGTCAGGGGGTGCTGCCTTGACTTGGAGAAGAGCTTCCATCCCCCCAAAGTGCTGACTAGGCTATATTTAAGGCTGAAATCTTGAACAAAACAATACCTTTTATATACTGCTATAATTGAACAAAACAGGTACTTTCCAAGCACTCAGCTGAGTCTCCCAGTAAATATCTCTCATTCTCCTCCCAGAGAAGGTTTATGTAAATCTTAATTACTGCATCACAGTTCCAATATTTACTGACATGCTGTAAATCCGTTGTGTACAAAGCAGACTAGGATCCAATAATACAGAGGCATTGTTTAATTATATGTTTATTAGAGCAGTAAAACTAATAATCCCCAGTAAAATCTTTGAAAATTATCCCGTCATGATAGAGTAATCACTGTCCTTTCAGCGAGGATAAAAGCACAGCAAACAGACACTGCTTTGTCACAAAGCTGCAGCAGGCACAGCACACAGCTCCAAGTCCAATTCATTCTGTCAGCCTTACACAATCTGTGGATTTTAAAACATGCATTAGGAAAGCAATGGAATAATTCAACTTTCGGTGCCTATATAAATTATTTCTTTTCAGTGAGTCTCACTCACAGGGAATGGATTCTAAAAGCTCATTTTATACACACAGCTCTGATCCAAGGCCAGAACAGTTAGGGGGTCTTCTCTTTGGACCAGCTGTCTGTGGATGAGGCCAGTCCTCACAAGTCCTCTCTGGGGCAATTCAGCAGGGCTCTGGCAAGGTGGTTTTGATATGTACAGAGTACATTTCTGTTCAGTCAGGTAGCATAAGGGCATTTTGCTTTTCGCTGGTTTACTGTGGCCCTGTCCTCTTGGTTAGAGTGTCCCATAATGCATGAGGATGCAGGCTGCTCATGTACCAGAGAAAATGTATATTTATCAGCAGCCTTCCTTTTACATTAATTCTAACAGGGAGAAGAACACTTATTACAATGTGCATGTATTTTTCCATGTGGAGACAAAGCATCAATGTCTCTTTATCTGCCTGTGAGTTAAGAAGCTGTTCTTCAGCTTGTGGGCTGTGGCTGTTGCTAAGACAACTGCGGTGCAGCCGTTGACAATGTCCATGATCATGCACCACAAGCTGCAATTTACCCACAGGTTCTTCATTTATTAGAGCAGAGAAACAGCAGGATAGCTGCTGCACCACGTCCCACATGATAGAGTACTGTGAGCATGGTATGAGTGGCTGTCACCACCTGCTCTGGGTCTAAACTGATGCTGCATTTGAAAGGAAACCCAATGCTTGGTAAATGTTTTATCAAAGTGTAACCTCTGAGCCCGGGAAAGGAAATTAAGGAAAACCTCACCACTTTGGAAATGCCTCAATAAAACACAACTGTCCACATTATAAACTTTGAAGGAGTTCCTCAATTTTGTTGCACACCTGTGATATGATATCACACGATATCTAAATGTAAGAATCCTTTGGAGACTGAGGAAGCAAGCAAGAAACAGCAGTCTGGGGCTTTGCCTTTTGTCACTCCGTTACCTGGCAAGGAATAGGGCAGTAATTAGGATTCTCATGCAGAGCCAGCACTGCTTCATGTAGTGTGTTTTACCACCTGGGAGGATGAGCTAAAAACAAAAGTTCTTTGCTCTGTAAATGGTCTGTACTATGTTGTTCACTTTCTGGGAACACCTTCAGGATCAGTTAAAGTGGTCACCTTCAGATCAGGATCCAGCTCCTCAGGAGCAGCACTCCAACAGCACAGCCTTCCCTACTGCCAGCAGGGTTCCACAGTGCACAGAGTTAATTGGGCCAGCAGAGTCTTACATTCCTGTGCTGGCTAAAATATAAAATTATTGGGATGCTTTTCTAAAAAACGGTGTGTTGTAATCCTATGACCATGCAAAAGCAAGCGATGAGTCACTAAAGGTTAATGAGAGGGATGTGCCATGTGTGGGCTGGGCTGAGCAGTCACCTTCTTGCACAAAGACAGGGCTGCAAGACATGGAGGCTAAGCAGGCAAGAGGAAGAAAAGAGCACCTGAACCCTCAGATTACTGGAGGAGCTCTTAGGGCAGCAGCACTGCAGAATTCAGTAAGGCACTCTGATATTCCTGAATTTCAGTTTTAAATTCTTCACAGTGCACAATGGTGTCATATTGCTGCTGCAGTGACACTGAGACATCAGGAAAAGCCTCTGCTTGTCTTGTTTTGTGTATCCAGCCTCCACAGACATGCACCTTGTGTTCAGGGGCTTGTCAGCACCCAGCAGCCGTGTCTGCATTACTGCTGATAACAAGCACTAGGGAGGTGAGGATTGAAAGACAACTGCAGAAGGAGGCTATGAAATGCATGTCAAATATTCATTTTCTTGTAATCCTGTACTTCCATTTCTCTGAGAACCCCCCCACGTCACCAAGACATTTGTAGCTACAGGTTCCCACTCAGATTTTCTCATGGACATCAACCAAGCCATTCTCATTACTTGAACAGTGCTTCACATTCTACAGTGTATAGGTCTTTAAAATTCTTCTTCTGCCTCCCTATTTTATCATGTATTTATTTTGTGCATAACTATTTTAGTTTACTGCAATAAAATCCATTCTCCTTAAGGCACAATCTATAATGAACAAATAAAAAATGTTATTTTGTTCAGAATGCATTATGAACAGCTTAGTATCAATTTTAAGGAAGTGTGACTAGCTTCCTAATGGCTTCTTATTTCAGTTATTCCTAGCTGCAACTAAGCCAGACAAATGCTTTAAAATCGTTCCTATTAAAGCACTTGAGAGGTTTTTAGCAATGCTTAGATGTGCCATCATAAGACATTTTAAATAACACACCTAAAAATAGAACTGTTTCTAGAGATCATACAGGAAACGTGCCATAAGGGAAATATGCTTATGATAAAAGAGATTTCCTATACATATTCTTAGCTTCATGAAGCCACTTGAGAATCCCATTTTAGAGACAGGAAATTTATGTACCTTAATCCTTATTTATGTTCTTCAAAATCAAGCTATCTTCCAAGCTGCTCATGTTTGAATGCTCCAGTTATGTCCTAAAGGCTCAGCACTTCAGGAAAATTTCTGCCTTGCAGGATCCTGATTTCAGGTTTAGGTTTTGAGTATTATTTTCCATACTTGGAGTCACAGTGGAGTCCAATATATCTGAACTCAAGAAACTAGCCCAAATTTTCCTGCAGCGATTCACATCTGCCAGACTTCAACACATACTTTGATCAATCTATTCATTCCCTGATTTCAGCTTCCTAATGGAGTTCTCCAGATTCCATGGAGCTCTGTGGGGCTGCTGAGCATGAAAGAAACACCAGAGCAGCAGGTGAGGTGCACAGGCACATCCCACTGAAAGCCTTTCTCCTGCTGTTCCTCCCTGCATTCCTTGCCTTTTTCCCAAGAAACACATGGATGTGGAACATTACAAACAGCTCTTAGAACACTACAGGTATTCAAATCCAAGGAATGGTTCCTATTGTTCTTCATTTTTGTTGCAATTAGGTCTGTTACACAGGCATCCATTTTCTCATCTGACATTTCTCTCTCGTCACTGGAGCTGAGCAACTTCCACAAAAAACAGGCAAGTCCTTTGGGCTCCCTGCATTATTTGGATCTTGGTTTGCATAGTATGACAGAACCAAATTGGAGAGACAAATTCTATTTTTAGGTAGAGGAGAGTGAGTGTTTGACACTGTTAGAACTGAGCAATGACTGGCAGTAAAGGCACTGAGGGTCTGAGCTCCCTGCATTGCCCCCCAGCAATGACACGTGGTGAGGTCAGAGTCTCCCACACACTGTCCTCAAGGCTTCAAACCACAACCATCACAGGGGAATTTGTGACTGCACAAGAGTGTGGTCAAGAGTCAGACATCATACAACACACTTAGTAGGTCCTTCATTTTCCTCTGAACAGTACCTATAAATAAGTAAAAAAAAATTTTTTTTTTCTTTTTTTTTTTTGCAAATAGTATAAAAGGAGCCTCTGAACAGTACCTATAAATAAGTTAAATTTTTTTTTTTTTTTTTTTTTTTTTTTTTTTTTTTTTGCAAATAGTATAAAAGGAACTAGAGAATGTCTTATGTGTCCCCTAACTGTAGGAGTGGTTGTTAGAAAGAATGAATGTCCTGGCTGGACAGCTGCTGCTGATGAATTTTGACATGGATAGTATTAATGACAGTCATTTATGTGGAAAGACAAAAGCCCAATATTCTCTTCACCTATCTTTTGAGATAATGGTAGAGATTGCTGTCCTATTCCTGAAGGAAAAACAAAAAAATTCTATAAATTCACTTAGGTGTGTGTATTCAGCTTTCTATACATTACTCTGCAGTTTTAATTTTTGGCACATGATGTTATTCCTATTTATCAACAACCTGACTTCCCTTCTAATGTATTGCATTTAGAATCCATTCAAGAGTATGACACACAATTCAGTGTGGCACAAAACAGGATGCATTAATATATTCCACTAAATCCCTACAAGCCCCTTCTCTGTCCGTCAAAAACCACAAAGTGTAATGCAGGTGCCTCCTGACTTCCCATCACCTTGGACTTAGCCAAAAAGGAAAGAGTTAATTCTAGTACAGAAGGGCAAGGTCCACTCATTTAATTCCTTTCTTATTTACTCATTTCTCTTAAATCAGCTTAAAGAGCAGGTACTTTGTTTTAGAAATTGAATCACAGTTTCACTTTGGAAAGGCAACTCCTGTCAATATTACAGATAGGAAAGGGGTCATGAAAATTCACACCTGCTTGGAGCCCTAGAGGGTGATACTTATCTCTGCTGGGTCAACTGCAAAAGCACTCTATTCAGAAGTAAAAGGATGCTATAAGCTATGTCATAAAGGCTGGACCAGGAATGATTGGAAATAAAAGAGATTAAATGGAGTAGATCCCAAAAATGTAAGATTTCTTCTCATTATTATACAGATAAAAATTGTGTATATAGAAGTTTGCATTTGAAGAGATGTATGTTAGGTACTAAGTCAATAATTGAAGGAGAAGAGAGGAAGCAGTGAATCATTCAAAGGACCAGAGACAGCAGTGACTGAAAGATCTGTTGGGCTGCATTTTTGACTGATGGAAGCATTTGCATTTTCCAGGAAAACAAAAAACAAAACAAAACCCACAAACAAACAAAAATAAAATAAAAACAAACAAACAAAAAAAACCAGAAATATATTTCATAAAGAGAATTGAGTTGTTAAGATTATCCAAAACAACAAAGGATTTTCATTTCTCTGGAAAATGAATCTTGATGGTACAAAAAGCAGAGTTTTTATTAGGCGGGGTTGAGATTCTCCATTCTCTCACACTCTGTTTCTCCCCACTGCCCCCAGCAGCTTTCAGTCCATCCCCATGGCACCTCAGCCTGGAGCCTCTCCCACAAAGAAACTCCCTGACAATAGCAAGAGGAGAAGAGAAAGACAATTCAGAGAATTTGACGTAAATACTACCCAAGTAAAAGGGTTTTGGTGTCAAGATAGTGTTTTGGTATCATACTGACAGGACAT